CTCAGCGGGAAGCCTGCTTCTCCCTCTCCCACTCCCCCTGCTTGTGTTCCCTCTCTCGCTGTGTCTCTGTCAAATAAATAAATCTTAAAAAAAAAAAAAAAGCTTCTTAGTAGAGTAATTTATGTTTGCATAAGCTTACAACTGTGCTTAATTTCAAATTCTCTTCCCTTACATTAGTATAATGACTTAAGAAATACGCAGCAACAGTCTAACTTTACAAGTGAAAATACTTGGCTTTACTCCAGCTATTTTTTCATTTGTTTAAAAGTGAAGGAAATCTAGACACACATACTACACAAAGTAGAAATAATACTATGAAGAATTACTAACATTATTGGGTTCATATCCATAGTAAGAAACGATACCACAGATCTCCAAAAAAGCACCACAAATGTAGTGAATACAATTCTCACAGTCAATACGGTAACTTATGTCTTAGTATTTTTCAACAAAGGGTAAACCGCCTTACTAGCAAGGACAGATTTTAAAATATCCAGAGAGAAAAATAATCTGTTTATCATCCAGACAATCCTTCATATTGTTTATCTCTCATTTTGGATGTTAATTAGCACTGAATATGAGGGTATATTTCTCAAAAGTTACTGGAATGCATTGGAATGTTTTATGCTGCCAGTCAACCACACCAGAATAACAAGTGAAATTCTACAGACTCATGTAGCGTCACAGTTGTATCAATAAGGAACACTGAACTCAAGCACTTATAGCTATAGCCTTACTCTACTTTCCATGTAACAACACAACAGATAACTACTTTTGTGTATGTACTTTGTTTAAAAATCATTTAAAAAATATGAATTAAAAAAATTTAAAAAAAAATATGAATTATACTTAAGTCCTGCTCACCCCAGAGCATCTATTATTCTTCTAAACTCTCAAAGTACCCTTCTAACACTTTTTACTCTTTAAGCAACACATCTTAACCCCCTATTGAGATTCTGCAGTGTGGACATAGTACTCAATAAGTAATGAATTATTTGGTCTTTTACCATTTTATCCATTCCTTTTGGTCCGAGGCTTGTTCTAATAGCATCAGCAACAGCTGTAAACAGAAGGAAGAAATCAAGACCCCTTTAAAAAAAGCAAAGTATTTCTCCTCTCAAATGATCACTTGTCCTTATTAGGATATGGTGTACAACCATTTACTATGTCCACTAATGAAAATTCATTGTCTAATAATAACCTACTGGAAACACAATAATTTATTCCTTTAATTGTATAATACTCACCTTCTGTAGTTAAAGTCACTGTACATAATACTTGTGCCCTGCCTATGGTAGAATAAATTTTGAGGATTTACCTAATCTTCCTCTAAATATCAAAATAAGCACAATGTAGTTATGAGTTCAAAATGGAGACTGCATTCTTTTCTCCATTCCTTAAGAACACAAGCAGCAACAGGAGAGGCAAGACTTCCTACTATATAATTCCCCTTGTCTATTGTCTCCCCTAACTATAATTTTTGAAAGCAAAGACTTGTCCACCAATGTGAAGCTGGCATAAAGATGGCCCATAGTAAAACACCCTCTGACACCCTCCACCCTGCCACCAAATAAACCAAAACAAACAAAAACCCCAAACCTTACACCAAACAAAAACCCTAGCTTTCAGTCATCAACGCTATATTATGAAACATCGCTGGGTATATAGTCTACCATTCCAAAGTTACTTATTCTTATTAACTTCCCTAAGAATGTTTCTGTTTTATTAGTCCACTTAAGGGAACCTGGATTTGATGAACAGTCAAGTTAAATCCCCTTTTCTTTGAGAAGCCCAAGACAAGTAATTAGACCCTCCCCTTTCTCACACACCACCTCACCCCATATACACAGGGCTGAGTTTGTGCCCTAATTATTGTATACTCCACAACCAGCATACCTCCCCCTTTACTGCGTGAATAATACATAAAGATCCTAAGAAAAAAAATATTTGCTATAATTAAAAATTATTTTCTATTTAATTGTTTCATAACTTTGGACTGCTATTCCTAATTATCCAGTCAATATTATGCTTTCAAGCGATTTTAGTGGACCTACATGGGCATGATTCTACAAGCAGACCAGTTCACTTTAAGAATGCCCTCACACTCATCTACATGAAGAAGTTAGGAAAACACACCCTATCCAAAATAATAAAAGATTTTAGACTGCTCACACCTCCAAAAGTGTCTAATGTTTAAGATACTGTGTGGCACACAGTAGGGTCTATGTTAAAGGACTCATGAAGAATACTAGAACTAGTATTATTTTGTGTGTGTGTATGTGGTTTTTACATTATCAACCAATTTGGGGGGTCACTTTTTTGGGATAACATCTAAGTAAAAAACTGGCTCAACTGAAAATCCATCTAAACTAAAGTAACTTTTATCAAGCTTGTTGGGTTTTGTCTGACTTGGAAAAACTAGTTGTGCCCCTCTGTTGAGTTCTCATTTAAAAAGGTCAGGTTCACAGATAATTCACGTGGCCTCTGCTCACCAGGCCCTTCAAGATTTGGCCCCATCCTACCCTTCCAGTCTCACCTCTCCTGTCTTCTTGCACTTTATTCTCTAACTGTAATGAAATACTGTATTTCAACACTCAATATTGATCATCTAAGATCTCTAAGGCTTCGTTCTCATTTTTCCTTCCAGACTCTTGTCTCAACAGCTACTCTTAATTCTCACAACTCCAAAAAAAAAGAGCGAACACTTTCCTCAATTTTATGGCTGAGGAAACGTTAGCTAAAGGTCGAAGGTCACAAAACCACTTGGTAACAGAGAATGGTAACTCAGGTTTTCATTTCTATCATATACCAAAGTATTCTACAAAACAACGAAACATCAATAAATCGTCCATATTTCTGGACTTGCTTGTGCTTGGTTGCACATGCAGGGAGAACAGAAAAGCACAACCTAGCTTTCCATCTGCTCAATCAGGACGGGTGAGTCTTCCCCACAGCCCAATACAAAGGGCCCCGCCCCAAGGTAAGCGCGAAGTTTACCCAATTCGTTTCACTAGTTGCGCCGAGAGCTTCTTTAAATACTATTTTTATAAGAACACTTGAAAACTAAAATGTATTTTGCAAACAACATTCTACCAGTGGAACCAATAAGCAGATAAACGACAGTGTCAGATATGTGTCAGATCCCAAGGGACCGCTACGTTCGGTCCTCGACATCCTTCTCCTGAAGCATGATGAGCGACCGAGGATGAAAAATTACGGGCGCCTACGACCCAGAATAGGGCCAGCCCAAAAGTCTCCACACTTGGCGTTGGGAATTACCGGCAGAAAACAGTAAAGATCCCTCCACAGAGCTGCTCTCCCTGGAAAGACAAGATCGTCTCAAGTAACAGAAAATGAGCTTTAGCAACCCAAGTTCAGGCTGAGAGTGCAGAGCTCGACCCGCACGGCCTCGGGTCAGACTCAGGGAGCGGTACCTTTGGCCGCGGAGATGTTGCTGAAGCGGATCTGGGCCGGCTTGTCACGGTCCTGATAGGCGGTTTTGTTGTGGCCGCCGGCAGATCCGGCGGGCGCCCCGCTCCGAGGTGCCACGTTCTCGGGCATGGCAAACTTGGCTGGGTCTGCGTGGGCTTGGGAAGGACGGATGGACGCGGATTCCAGCCGGCCGCGGAGCAACGGAACACTCCCACGCCTTTCACGAAGCTTCCAGAAAGCGGCGCCGACGCCGGGAGGAGGAGGAGGAGGAGAGGGGGCCTGCGAAGCGGCGCGGCGCCGACATGACGTAGCGGGCTGCCCGCCGCGCGCCGGTTGAGGTGGCTGTGGCGGGGAGCTGGGGGGTTACCCGGAGTGTTGGCCCCGGGCTCCGGGGGTGGGGCGCGCTGGGGGCGGACGCTTGCGAGGCAGACAGGCAACCCATGATTTTAAAGGCGGGTGTTGGGCACCCACATCGCCCGCTGCCCTGGCCTCGGCCGTGAGGTCCCTTCCGTTAATTCAAACCCGACGCGTCTACGAGGGGTTGTGGGCGCCCGGATTACTCCTGAACGGGCGGGGCTGAGGCGGTTTTTGCTGGGCCGCTTAGTCTTGTATTTTGTTGAGTTTTGTTCGTGTTGGGAGAGGTTTGAGATGGGTGTCTGTTTTCATTTGGTTTAAGTGTTGATTGTTTCCTCTTGATTGATACTGAGGGGTAGTTAGAGATTTAAATAAGTCCTCGTTAAATTGCAGAGAATCTTAACAAGTTTTGAAGCAATGATTGCCTGCCAAACCAGATTGCCTGTCTGATACAACGCCCTCGCTGTATACTAGTTTCTTATATAAACATGAGCCTCTCACGGGGAGCCTAAACATTTTAGTTATGATAATTTTAGTTCAGTTATGTGCTAGGTGCATTGTTAAACCCTTTAGACGTTTTATCTCATTTAATCTTCACAATAATTCGATGAAGTGGGAACCATTATTATTATAATTATTATATTTAGTAGGTAAGGTAACCGAAACACAGAGAACTGAAGCCCAAGGTAAACCTGTAATAAGATTGAAACCGTATTTCCTTAGAGAGCAACGACTTGCCAGGTCATGAGCTAAACTGCTGGGCTCTTGTTACCACTGTTTTTACTATGGAAGTTCATGTAAGTTAAGTTCATTCAATGTTCTTTCACAAATAAATATTAAACGCTCATAAAGCAGGGATGTCTGGGATATGTTAAAAGTACTTAATCCTGTGGTCACCAGGCGCTTTAACACGCTGTGAGGAAATGAGCACTAGAAGTTGAACTTTCCAGGGTGCTCTCTAATTCAAATGCTTCTGGTGCTGACTTCTTTTTTATTTTTTTCTTAAGATTCATTTACTTATTTTAGAGAGAGCCTGAGTGCGTGAGTGAGCAGGGGCAGAGGGAGAGGGAGAGAGAGAAAATCTAGCAGAATCCGTGCTGAGTGCAGAGCCCATGCTGAGTGCAGAGCCCACAGGAGTCTCCATTTTATGACCCCCGAAATCATGACCCAAGCCAAAACCAAGCTGATTTCTCTTTTGAAAGGACCAGACTTCTTTGATGTAGCTCATAAATATCCTGTGATTACTTGTTAAGACAACTGATGTGCGATCATGGAAACAAGTGTGTGATGATGGAAATAGAATTAATTTGGGGATCCAAAATCCTGGCTTCAGAGTTCTACTCTGCTACTTATTAACTATGTGATCTTGGGCAAGTCTTTTAAATTCTCTGGGTCTTATTTTCCTCACCTATGTAATAGTAGGATTAAATTACATGATCTCTAAAGGCTAGTTAGACTCCACTAGTTTTATTAGTGTAAGGAGTAGACCTATTAGCCATAAAAGACAGAGCAGAATTTGGAAGATGCCATTACTGGCTTTTTTGGACAGTCCCCATGAGTAAGACAATTGCTTTAATTATCTTAAAGATTTCAAGTCCTAAATATATCTTTTCTTTTTCTGTGACAAATCGGAATTACTTTTTACCCCCCCCAATTTATGCAATAAATAAGTGCTGAAAATTTGATTGTGTAAAAGTGTCAATATACATTAATTCCCCATTAGAATGGGATTACATTAAGTATTAAAATGTGCAAACTTTTGTATGCTATGCAAAGCACTGTTGCTAGTGAAGGATGGAAATACTGAAAAAAAAATCCTGTCAGATCCAAGCAGACACGAAGCATATGTGAGAATTTGGCAATATCACTAGCCTTATAGAATTTCTCTAAAGACTTGTAAAGTAGGTTTTATAAAACAGTAGTACTTGGCCATCTATCCAGGTGAGGGTTGTCTTCCCTAGGACGGATGCTGAACCACTTGCTAAGCCCCCAATAACAAGACTGAGCTAGGCTCTGTTGGGGTTGGAAAAGGGGAGAGGGTTGTGTATATATCCTCTCTTAATTTTTCACACCAAAGACAATGGTTTTTATTGTTATTATGTATAATCTATTTTTCTTCTCCTCTGTGTGAGTTTATGTCATTGAGACAACCATTAAGCCCTATTTTTCCTAAGCCATATTGCTCGCATCATTCATTTTTTTGTTTGCCTTCCAATGTTACATGAAGCAGAGGCCTGTTTTCCTTAAATATACTTTGATTTTTCTGATTTTCCCTGAAAGATTTCTAGTTGACATTTTTATCACTTTGTAAGCTTCCCACTGAAAAGATGTCTGAAAATGGGAAGAGGAAAAACCAAAAAAGGGGGCTGGCAAACGTAGAAGCTTCATGACCTGTTTTAAGTAAACCAGATTTTCTGTCTAAAAATAGGAATCAACTTAATACTAATTATTGCAAATTTGTAGGCAAAATAAATGATTGTTGTTTTGGGGGTCAAGATGTGGGGCACAACACAAAAAGAGAGGCAAGCAGACATTAGATATTTCCCAATGGAAGAATGAAGAATTGAATCCGAATCTAATCAAGTTCCTAGATGTAATTTCTAATTCACAGGTTTACAGGACATACAGGATAGATTATAGTTTTTAAAAATGATAACCCATGAAGATACAATCAATAAGACATAGAATCTGAGAAACTCTTTAGGATAAATGACCTGCAAATACATTGCAAGAAAAGAAAAACAAAAACAAGATGGAAGGGGAACTTTTAGATTAAAAGAAACTTCAGATTAAAAAAAAGGAACAGGGGTGCATGGCTGGCTTAATCAGGGGAGTGTGTGACTCTTGATCTCGGGGTCCTGAGTTCGAGCCCCTCGTTGGGTGTAGAGATTACTTAAATAAGTAAATAAACTTAAAAAAATTAAAAGAATGATGCAAGCAATATGGCTTAATAAAATAGGGCTTAATGGTGGTCTCAATAACAAACTGTGCAAGGGAGAAGAAAACTAATTGTTCCTTGCTGGTTAATCAAGTACTTAAATATTCAGACAGACAATTAAAAAATATGAAGTTTGGGGCGCCTGGGTGGCTCAGTCGTTAAGCGTCTGCCTTCGGCTCAGGTCATGATCCCAGGGTCCTGGGATGGAGCCCCGCATCAGGCTCCCTGCTCGGCCAGGAGCCTGCTTCTCCCTCTCCTACTCCCCCAGCTTGTGTTCCTTCTCTAGCTGTCTCTCTCTCTCTGTCAAATAAATAAGATAAAATCTTTAAAAAAAAAAAAAATGAAGTTTGTGAGACAGACATTTGAGTATGGATTTATAGTTAACAAAGTTGTATTTTATGTGAATCATTATTATGGGTTTTTTTTTAATGTCTATCTTTTAGAGAAACAATGAAATATTTACCAATAAAGTTTTTTTTAAGATTTTATTTATTTATTTGGTAGAGAGAGAGAGATAGAGAAAGCACAAGCAGGGGAGGCAGCAGGCAGAGGGAGAAGCAGGATCCCCACTGAGCAGGGAGCCCAGTGTGGAACTCCTTAGGTCAGACCCACGTCATCATCTGTTTGCTTACGGAGATAGTCTCTTGGCCTTTCCCGCTTCTTCAGTTTGCTACACTGCCACATGGAGGAATCTTTTTTTTTTTAAGATTTTATTTATTCATTCGAGACACAGAGATACAGAGAGAGAGAGAAAGAGCACGAGCAGGGGGAGAGACAGAGGGAGAAGCAGGCTTCCTGCTGAGCCAGGAGCCGGACGTGGGGCTCGATCCCAGGACCCTGGGATCATGACCTGAGCCGAAGTCTGATCCTTAACCATCTGAGCCACCCAGGCGCCCCCAGAAGAATCTTTTGAAAACGCAAATCTCATGGGGCACCTTGTGTGACTCAGTCGGTTAAACCTTTGGCTCAGGTCATGACCTCATGGGTCATGATCCCTTGGGTCCTGGGATCGAGCCCCATGTTGGGATCCGTGATCAATGCGGAGTCTGCTTGAAGATTTTTCCCTCTGCCCCGCCCCCCACCCGTGTGAGCTTGCATGCGTGTGCACCCTCTCAAATAAGTAATTTTTTTTTTTTTAAGATTTTATTTATTTGACAGAGAGAGAGAGAGGGAGAGCACAAGCAGGGGGAGCAGCAGTGGGAGAGGGAGAAGCAGGCTCTCTGCTGAGCAGGGAGCGCTATGTGGGGCCCCATCCCAGGACCCTGGGATCATGACCTCAGAAAAAGGCAGATGGTTAACTGAGCCACCCAGGCACCACTCAAATGAATAAATAAATCTTAAAAAAA